TCAGCAAAAGTTCTGATTCAAAATCCTACTGTCCATGGCTTGCTGGTTGGTCGGTCTCTGTGCGGCACGAAGGTCTCTCTAGTGACCCTGGGGCAACGACAGAGGTTGCGGGGCTGTGGCGCTGCCACCGCTGCGGTGGGGGATGTGGGGGCAGAAGGCTGTGGTGCTGCCACTGCCAGAGGCGAGGGAGTGTGGGGGTGCAGCACTGTGGTGGGGGCAGAAATGTGGGGCGCGCACTCCCACACACCTTTCTTAAACCATTTTAATGTTCCTTACTCTGATTATACAAGAGCTTCTTGTTCTAGGTAAAGGTTTCACATGAGTTCAATTACATTTTCTGAGATTACCATTCTTCTCAATGTTATCATAATTTGTTATCAACCTCTCAGTTAAAGCTTTTGCATAACCAATAAACACAAATAAACATTCTTCTGGTATTCTCTGGTTTTAACCGGGATCCATCTGACATCACCATTTATATCCCTGGTGCCTTGATCTCTTCTAAACTCAGCTTGAATTTCTCACAGTTCTTTGGCAATATACTATTCTAACTATTACAACCAAGGAAATCCTATAGGGCAATTCTACTCTGTCTTTTAGGTTCACTATGAATTCAAATCAACTTGATAGCAATGATTGGGTTGGTAAAAACTGTTAAGTTCTTAAAAGTTGGTAGTTCAAACTGTAGAACAGACTGAAAACTCTCACTCTCTAGAAATCTATAGGAGCTATGAGGCTAATAATTCCTAAAAATTATTAGCTCTTTATCCATCATTACTGTAGTTTAATCATCAAACGTTTGCTTTAACCTTGTACTTCTTTATCACTCCTATTCCTTTATTTCCCATTCTCCTGGTTGTCTATTGTTGTTGCCTTTATCCAACGATTAGTAGTATTCTGTTACTTTTTAATAATCCTTTTTTTGGACATCACGAAACCTATGTTTCTAGTCACTAAATAAGTTTCCAAAGGTTTCATGTCCATCTCTAATCTTATTTGTAAAAAAGAAGTGATTTATTACTTAAGACATATTTAAACATAGTATTCTATGTTAATTTCTCTGGAATGTTTGTATATGAAAAGGGACTCTTAAAGAAAGAGATTCAAAAGTAGTCTCCTCAAATGGTGTATTTTCAGTTACTATGACAGTTGAATAGGAAGGATGTTTCATGGTAAAAAATGCTGTTTCCCACACTTGTAAATCTTAGCGTCAGCCATCTGCTAGTTTGTAGGACAGGTATTCTGGGCAATGGCTTTTATACCACATTTTTAAAAATGGGTTTTCTTCAGAAGGAAAATATAATTTCAGAAAATAAAAACAACGAAGGTCTAAATCTTGACACCACATAAAATAATGTGCAATTTACAATATGTGCTATTTACATACCAACCACTGACCAAGAGATATAATATATGTTGATTTTAGAGAATCATTTCCTTTTTATTTAATGCACTAAGAGACAATTGCATGATGCATTTTATCTTCATTTTACTGATGAAAAAAATAGAGAGATTCAAATAAGTTATGTAACATGTGTCTGGGTCAAGTAAGCTTTTTTCCTTTACATTATTCTTCCAACATTTCCATGCCTGCATTGTTTCTACCACATGTCTATCAGTTTGTCTTTCTGCAGTGAATTGTGGATGCTGTGATTCTGGAAGCTACGCCACTGGTATTCCAAATATCAGCCTGGCAACCATGTTGGACAGGTTTCAACAGAGATTTCAGACTAATGCAGAAGAACTAGGTATGGACGGATATCAATTTATGAAATAATTTGCCACTGAATTCCTTCTAAACACATTGTCAAATATAGCATCAAAAGATGAGGCCTTCAAGTTGCAAAACACTTAAAATCAGACTGAGGGAGAGCTATCTCGTCAAACTAGTCGTTGTTAGGTGCCATCAAGTCAAGTACAACTCATAGCAACCCTATGAACAGATCTGAACCCTCTGCTATTCCGTTCCATCTTCACACTTCCTGACACAGTAGAGTCCATTGTGGAAGTCATTGTGTCAATTCACCTGGTCAAGGGTCTTCCTCTCCTTCACCGACCCTCCATTCTCCCAACCATCATGTCCTTATTCAAGGAATAGCCCCTCCTAGCAACATGCTTTGAGTTATGTGAGGCAAAGCCTCACCATCCTTGCCTCCAGAGAGCACTTTGGCTGTACCTTCTCCAAGACTTATTTATTTGTTCTCTTGGCTGTCTGTGGGATGTTCGGTGCTCTTATTCAATACCACAGCTCAAAGGCAGCAATTCTTCTTCTGTAATCACTATTCTTTAATTAGCTCTCAGATGCATATCAAATGATCAAAAGGACCATGGTCTGAAGCAGATGCATCTTAGTCCTCAAACTGACATCCTTACTCTTCAATAATTTGGAGAGGTCCCTAACTGCAACTTTCCCAGTGCAATGCATCTCCTCATTTCCTGACTACTGGTAACAAGGGTGTTAATTGTGGATCTAAGTAAGATGAATTTTTTGACAATTTCAATCCCTTCTCTATCCATGATGTTAACTATTGGTCCAGGGATAAGAATCTTTGTTTTCTTGACATTGTGATACAATCCACATTGAAGCCTACATTCCTTGACCTTCTGCAACAAGTTCTTCAAGTCCTCCTCACTTACAGCAAGCAAGGCTGTGTCATCTGTAGAGTCTACCTCAATGACCTAGATGGATGAAAGATCATCATTCACTTAAGTGCAAGACAGATAATGAGGAGAAGCAGTTACAAACATCTATTAATATTTGTAATATGGAATGTAGAAAACATGAACATAGGAAAATTGAATCTATGTCCTAGGTATTAGTGAGCTAAAATGGAGTGGTATTGGGCATTTTGAATTAGACAATCATATAGACTACTATGGCAGCAGTAATAAATTTAAGAGGCATGGTATTAATTCATTATCAAAAAGAACAAACCAAGATCTATTTCAAAATGCAATGCTGCCAATGATAGGGTCTGTACACATAAAAGGAAGAACCATTAACATTATTATTCTTCAAATTTATACACTAATCCCTAATGCCAAATATGAAGAAACTGAAGATTTCAACCAAATTCTACAGTCTGATCCTACTCCCTGCTTTGTTAGTGTGATTTGTTATGTTGATTATTTTTCTTATGTTGAACCATTCTTGCATACCTGTTATGAATCCCACTCTATATGATGAATTTTTTTAATGTATTGTTGGATTCTATTGGCAAGAATTTTGTTAAGGATTTTTGCATCTCTGTTCATAAAAGATATCAATCTATAATCGTCTTTTTTGTTATATCATTGCCTGATTTTAGTATTAGGGTCTTGCTTCATAGAATAACTCTTTCTGAGAACCAAGATGGTAATGGCAGAGGAAACAGCTTAAGGAGCTGGAGGAGCTGCAAGCTGCATAGAAACAGGCCACCATAGTCCTCCACTGTCCTCAGTTTACTAATAATTGAACAATTAAACAGTTGATTACTTGTATTCAATATGAATCGAAGCTCAACATCAAGAGAACAAAGATTCCCAAAAAAGAATGGGTGAGTCCCACAGCTCTCAGCTCCCCACTGCAGAGCTCACATGCCCGCTGCAGCTCCATGGGGTCTCTGTGGCCAGACACCAGGGATCCCCCACCTGGGATGGACAGCAGGAACCAGACCCCGCAACTTGTATGACAGAGCCTCCACACTGCCACAGAATAAACTTATTCTAAAATAAATTCTCAGAACCAAGATGGCAGTGGCAAGAGATACAGTGTGAGGAGCAGGAGGCCCAGCAAACTGCATTGAAACAGGCCATGTAACTAATACATACCTAAACAGCCACGCAGTTGACTGCCGACCGGCGTCAATATGGACTGAAGCTCAACATCAAGAGGACAAAGATTCTCAAAAGAACATGGGTGAGTCCCATTTCCACCTGCTATCCACTGCCAAACCCACACTGCCATGACCCCATGGGGCCATCATGATTGGAGCCCACAGATCCCCTAGCTTAGACCTGGCTGCCAGTGCTGGGTCCCATGGCCAGTATGAAAGAGCTCCCACACAGCCAGTGGCTATGGAGGCCAACAGCTGCAGGCCCCCAGAGTGGGAAGGGACAGCGGGTGGTGGGAGGGGAGTAGCAGCGTTGGTGGCACCATGGAGCCACAGGAGATGAAGGGCTTGATAGGGGAAAGCATCTTGCTGTCAGTGAAAATTTCCTTGGCTACATCAGAGAAGAAAAGATCATCAACACAAAGGATTGATAAGGTGTCTGTAGCAATGGGCTCAAGTGTGCCACGGATTGTGGAATGGTGTAGGATAGGGGAAGAACTACATTTGTTGTTCATAGAATTGTTGTGAGTCATAGAGAGATCTCTGTGGGCCTATTGGATAGAAAACTATGCTTCCAAACCAAAGGTCATGGATTTTAATCTGCAGCCCTCAGGCCTGGATTTGATTGTTTTCAGTTAAACACTCTTCTAAGTATTACTGCTCTGCCAATTGACAATACAGAGGTAACTCATGGTTGTTATGAGGCTAAATACTGTGACACTGAAGTGACAAATGCAATAATGGTTACCCATAGTGGACAGTGTTTGATGGAGCTCTCAGATTAAAAAAAGCTTGAAAGCAGGAGTGGCATCCACTTCCGAAATAGCTTACCTCTATGAACTCTATGAACTTAGAGAAACTATACAAGTTATACGAGAGTTTAGGTCTTTCATTCAAAGGGTCTCTATGAGTTGTCTATGACTCGATGACACTTAACAACAACAACAAATCCAAGATAGAAAACCTCCTCAATATACCATATCTTTTGATTTCTTGCCTACTGCTGCCAAGAACTGTTTAGAACCATGGAGTGTCTGTTCACAACTCTCAAAGCCCCTTCTCCATTTGTAAAGGGAGAGGGTAGTGATGTCTACTTCAAATTGCAGCTGACCACTTGGTGGAGGGGAAGGGGGCAGTGGTGGCAGTGCTGGAACCAGGGGTGCTGTCCCTGGCCATGCTCTTCAGTGAAGCACAGGGTCCAGACCTGGGGAGGGGGAGAGGCTTCAATAGGGAAGTGTGCGTAGGGCCCCTGAGTAGAACCATTTGGCCTCCAGGCCGGGGGGGGGCCTCAGGGTGTGCTCAGGCCCCATGTGAGGTGCCCAGCCCCTGGGGAGAGCCATTTGGCCCTCAGGATGTACTGTCATTCCCCCCCCCCATGTGCCATTTGACCCCCAGGGAGAGCCGTTCAGCCCCCTGGGGAGAACTGCCTAGGATATACAAAGAATTTAATCTAAGCCACTTTTCTCCACCTCCTCCCCCAGTACATCTGCAAGTAACATCTCCCAAGCCCTTCTCTGTGTAATTCACGAGTGGTTTCTCTCTATGTTTTCTCCCTTTCCTACAGGTAATCGTAACACTAAGTTTTGCTCCAGACCTGAACCCTGAACAAGTTCCAAAGACGAAAGGGAAATATAACTATCAGTTAAGGAAGTGAAGGAAGATGGAGCCAGCCATCTCCACTGGACCAACCTTGGCAAACACTCTGCAGTCCAGAGGGCAGTAAATGCCAGGAAAATATCTTCTAATTGAACAAGAAGGCATGCAGCTTCAACCTGGGACCATCAGTAAGGTGTTAAAGGGCTCCCCTTCCCCCTTCACTTCAATGCCCCCTGTTTAGCCTGAAGAAGCCAGAGAGTCTGTGCCCCATTCCCTAATGAAAAGCCCACAAATGAATGAGACAGTATCTTCGGTGGTAAAAACTAAAATAAAATAAAATTTAATCACCCACTCCCACCACCCACCAAATTGTGCAGCCCTGTGATTTCATCCCTGCACTTTCTCTTTTGCTCCCAACCCTCACCCCCTTGAGTCCCCATACATGTTTTTCACAATAAAAAAAAAATAATGACTCTTTCTATGTTTAAAAATAATTTAAGTAGAATTGGTAATAGTTCATCTCTGAATGTTTGGTAGAATTTGCCTGTGAAGCTATCCCAGCCAGGACTTTTTTGGGGGGAAGAGTCTTTTTATGACCTGCTTATTTTTCCTTTTGTGTTGGGTATGTTCAAGTGTTCGGTATGTGTCAATTTGGGTAGGGTGTGGGTTTCTAGGAATTTGTCCATCTCCTGTAGGTTTTCAAATTTATTGCAGTATAGCTATTTTTAATACTTAGATAATATTAGAGTACATACTGGCAGTCAATGAAAAAGAGGAGAAAACACTGCAAACATCCTTTAATAGTTGGAACATGGAATGTATGGCATATGAATGTTGGAAAACTAGAAGTGAAAAATGAAATTGAACTCATGAGCATTGACATTCTTAGGTATCAATGAGATGAGATGGACTGATTTTGGCCACTTTGAATCAGACAATTATATGGTATACTATTCCAGGAACAAGAAATAGTGTAAGAATGATGGCACATTCATAGTTAAAAAGATAATTTGAAGTTCTATTCTCAAATTCAATATTTTGAGTGATAGGATATTTTCCATATGCATACAAGTAAGACCTGTTAATTAGACTATAATTCAAATATATGTACCAACAGCTAGAGTGAAAGAGGAGGAAATTGAAGATTTTTATCAAAGTTTACAGTCTAACATGCAATAAAGATGTGTTAATGGTAATTGGTGATTGGAATGTATAAATTGGCAAGAAGGAAGAAGGAAGGGTAATTGAAAAGTATGAACTTGGTGTCAGAAATGAGGCCAGAAATAGAACTCACTGCTGGTTTTTATTTCAATTGTTTTTCTGTTTTGTATCCTATTGATTTAAGCCCTTATCCCTATAATTACCTTTCTTCTAGAGGCTTTGGGATTAGGTATTGTTCTTTTTCTATTTGTTGGAGGTGTTAAGTAGTTTATTTTTCCTTCTTTTTGTGTGTGTGTGCTTATTGCTATGAACTGATCCCTGAGGACTGCCTTAGCTGTAGCCTAGAGGGTGTATATCTTCTACAATCCAGAAGTGCTTAAGCACTATTATTTAGCTTCCATAGGGGTGTTGTTGTTTTGTTTTTACTTTATCCTCTTGTTAATTTTTAGTTTTATGGAATTATAGTTTGTAAAAATTATTTGCATTATTTCAAAGCTTTTAATGTTGTTAAGGCTTTTTTGTGTCCTAATATGTGGTCAAATGTGGAGAATATACCATGTGCATTTGCTTGTAGTACTCTGAATACATCTATGTGGTTGAGTTGGCTGATTGTGTAGTTTAGTTCTGCCATGTCTTTGTTGAGTTTCTTTTGATTTGACCTGTCATTTGGTGAATGTGGTGTGTTGAAGTCTCCCACTGGTATTGGGGTGTCATCCATTTTTTTCTGCAAGTACGTTAACTGTAGTTTTATGCCTTTTGCAGGGCTATCAATAGGTGCATAGACTTTAACTGATGTTATGTCCTCAATCTTTTGTGCCCTTAGTCATTATATGGTGTCCTTCCTTATCTCTTATGGTGGTTTTTGTTCTAAAGCCTATTTAATCAGAGATTAATATTGCCACTTCATTTTTTTTTATGGATGTCATTTGCTTGGTATATTTTTTCCCCACCTTTTGATTTTTAGTCTATCTTTCTTCTCATTACTAAATATGTCTCTTGTAGGCAACATGTTGATGGGGTTTGGATTGTTGGGTTTTGGTGTTTTGTTTTTTTAATCCATTCTACAACTCTTTTTCTTTCTTTTTGCTGCATTTAAACCATTTACATTGAATCTTATTAGTGATGTTGTTGTTAAATGCCCTTGGGTCGTAGGGGACTCATAGTGACCCTATGAAGGAAAGTCCTGTAGACTATATAACTTTTGTCCTTTCTCCAGGTTCATAGGGTTTCTAGAGTCAAGCTATTATGGAAGTGAATACCACTCCTTCTTCTAAGCTTGTTTTAATTGGGGAGCTCCACCAAACACTGTCCACCATGGGTAACCGTTCTCACATTTGACTCATCAGTGTCACAGTGTTTGGCTTAACAGCAACCACCAGTTACCTCTGTACAGCAAGTGGACATACCAGGGTGATAGGACAGGTTTATATCATTGCCATCTTACTGTATTACTTTTTCTGTTGTTGCTGTTTGCTTTGGTCCATCCACTTTACTCTGCTGTTTCTACATGAGGCCCTTCTCTTCATATTTCTTGTAGAATTGGTTGTTTACACAAATTCTTTAAGCTCCTGCTTTTCTGCAAATGATCTAATTTCTTCTTTATATTTGATGGGCAGCTTTGTTGGACACAGGATCCTGGGCTGGAAGTTGTTTTCTTTCAGCCTTCTGTAAATGCTATTTCATTGCCTTATTGTTCACATGGTTTCTACTGAGTCAGAGCTTAATCTAATTGGTTCTCCTTTATAAGTGACTCTTCATTTTTCTTCTTCTGCTTTTAGTATTCTATGTTTGTCTTTGATCTTGGAGAATTTGGCTATACTGTGTCTTGATGCTTTTTTATTGGGGTCTAGTGTTTATTTCATTATTCATACCTGGGAAGTTTTCTTCTAGTACCTCTTCCATAAAGTTCTCAGTGCTTTCACCACCACCACCACCCTACCGCCACTTCCTGCCCTTCTGCTCTGGAAATGCCAATAATGCATGTTTTATTTGATGTCATATCACACAATTCAAATGTTTTCTTCATTTTCTTTCTGTCTTTTCTCTGTTTGTTTGGGTTTGTTTGTTTTTGTTTTTTTTTTTTTTGTCTTGTAAGTTCTCATTGAGTTTTATGTCTTCTATCTCACTGAATTTCTGTTCTATCTTTTCTATCTGCTTTTTTGTACCTACAACATGTTATGAAGTTCTGTAATACTACTGGTTTTGATATTATTAATTGAATTTTCTTGTTTATCTGTTGGGTTTTTTTTTTTTTAACTGTGTTGGCTGTGTCCTCTCTGTCTTGTGATTTTTTAAAAATTCTTGTACATCTTTATTTTTAGTTTCAACTCTCTCTTCCATCCTTTGTTGCTTCTTCAGTACTAGTTCTTGGAACTCCAGTATTTTTTCTTTTGCCTGTCTGTCTCTGGGGTATTCATTGGGTCTGTTATCTGGTCTGCATTTTTAAAAGAAGGCTTGTTTCGTTTTTTCATGTTTTATCCTTTCTTTTTTACAATCTTTGTTTATTTGACATTATGTAAAGTTCTTTTTGGTATGAGTGAAGCAAGTTCTAGCTGTCAATTCCTTATATTTATGATGCTCTTGGTAGAGTTACAGATTTTGCATTTCTCCTGATTCAGTTTGTCAATGGCAATCATCCCTGCTGGTCTTCTGTAATGATTCTGTTCCCTGTCGCCTGTGACACACTTCTCATTCAGTTGTCCTTGCACGGTAAGGGAGCTGGAGTATTTTTCTTTGCCCTGCTATGGCAGGCTCAGTTCTCTGCCTTGTCCTATGGTTCAATGAGAGGGGGAGATTTTCCTTAGGATTAAGCAAAGTTGGCTGTTTTGCCTTTGTTCTCTACTGTGACTGGATAGAAGACGTTGTTTCCTTCCTGGGCTAACAAAGCCACTGGGGAGCTGGCAAAGTCTCAGGAATGCTGCATAGGATACTTTCTTCTACATGTCTTGGTGCTAAGATGACGCTGTGTCCTTTTCTGAGGCTAGATGGGAATAGTTGTTTCTCCCTGAGCTGACAAAGTCCTGGGAAGCTTGGAAAGTCTCATGAATGCTTCCCAGACTCCTTTCCTCCCCACGTCTTGGAGGTAGGTCCATGCTCCTGGTGTACATTGAGCTGTAAGGCCCTTTCTTCACTGCTTGCTGATCTGAGTGGCCCACAGGACGCCCTCCTCTCTTCTGGCTAGCGCACTTCAGACATCCAAGCTGGAGTCCTAAAGTGATCTTCCCTCTCTATCTGGTGTTTTCCAGCTGAGTTAAATGTGCTGGTGGGGGCAGGGATAATTTGAGCCTCTGAAAATTGGGTGGACTTGTGGTGGCTGAAAAGCCCTTTCTTCATTGCTGACTGGTCGGGACAGTCCACAGGGCATTCCCTTCTCTGTTAGCTAGGGCAGACCAGACACCAAAGGGAACATGAGACCAGCAGCCTACAAGTCTTTTCCCTCCTTTCTATCTGTTTCCCTATACAAGTGGGGGACAGGGAAAACTCATGGGTTTGCTGGAGTTTGGGTGGACTCCTGGTGGCCTATGAGGGCCCTTCCTCATTGCTGGTTTGTCCGGGTGGCCTACTAAGACTTTAAATACTTTTCAAAATCTTATTTTAGTGAAGAAAAAAAATATCCTTCCAAGCTGCATGTTTAGATCATGTAGTTCACTGGCCAATGCAACCTGATTCAAAAGGCTGCACATCTGCAGTGGTTCAAATCCACCAGCAACTCCAAAAGAGAAAGACGAGAAGTTTCCTGCCATAAGGCTTTATAGTCTGGGAAATCCTATGACAGACAGAAAGTCACCGTGAGTTAGAACCAGCTCAAAGGTTTTGAGTTTGAGTCTAGTGGTATATAGGGGCAGAATCTTTAACTTTGTTCATGTTCACATCTCTGTGCTATTTGTATAGCATATAATTGTTGCTCAGTAAGTGTGTTTAAATAAATGAAAGTGGTGGCAGTGAACGAGTGGATTGAAAATGAACACTGCACTGAAACAGATGACTGAAAAGGCTGTCTAAAAGGATCTATGATAAGATTTTTTATGTATGAAAATTCAAAATCTGGAACAAGAAGTGCATTACAAAGTAAACTGGGGGGTGGGGAAAGGATAGGGAGGGAAGAAAATGTGCATGAATGAATGAATGAAAGAAAAAATCATTTTTTTCTGTCAACACTCATTAACTCACAAATTGGGGGGGGAAACCAACTTTGAAAAAAAGAGTATCAAAGTACAGCAATCTAGCGCCTACCCACAGGGGGCAGTGTTGCTCTTGTAGAATTCCTTTAAAGGTTAACTCCAATCCCTCAGAGAAGCCCCTAGTGATCAGACTGACAACACAGAACATGTATCTGAACACCGCAATCACAGATACACTGTTATTCTAAGCCCAGAGGAGTTTTCTGAAGTCACCATCCTATTTAGGAAATAATTCTTTGCTGTAGACTTGGAGATGTTCCTTGAAGCTTTAATAATGATTCTATCATTGCAACAACAATGTAAGTCTTGGTTCTTCTGCGAAGAATTCTAAAAGGGTGGAAATTCTATGAGGGCACTGGGTGAAATTTTGTTACAAGTGTGGAAAAAGAAATAAAGGCAGAGAAAAGGTAAGAAAGGAAGTACGGCAGGAAAAAAAAGCACAGAGGCCATAATGGAGGCATTGACTGAGTACCCATCACAGCTCTAAGAAAAGTGATTTAAAACCAATTCTGAATTCCTTGTTTTTTCTTTCTAAACAGGGGTGAGTGGCCAACAACTAAACCAGAATCCTCAGTCCATGTCCCTCCAGGAAGGAGAGGACTCCATCATTAATTGCAATTCTTCAAGCACATTTAACTCTTTCCTATGGTACAAGCAGGATGCTGGAGAAGGTCTTGTCCTCTTGATAACTCTATACAAAAGTGGTGAAGTAACCAGAAAGGAGAAATTGACTGCTCAGTTTGGTGAAACAAGAAAGGACAGCTTACTGCACATCTCAGCCTCAGCACCAGATGATACAGGCACCTACTTCTGTGCTGGGAGGCACAGTGTTCCTCAAACACTTACAGCCTGTACCCAAACCTGCAGCTAGGGGTCCAATTACTGTGCTACTCCAGCCCCTGCTCCTCTTAGCATTAAATGTGATCATACAAAGAACCAGTTGTCCTTTCATTTCATTACTGAAACGCTCATGTATTGAAAGATATAATAAGATTGTGTTTAATGCACTTTTCCCTTCTAAATTATTTTGATGTAAGTAGTAAATATACATATTCATATTTTTCAGTATATAAAGAGACTTAATCAATACACAACAATAGCATATTTTAAGCACATGTCTCTTAAAAAACTGCAGATAAAGTTAAAAGACATCAAATGGAGTAGAACTGAATATATAAAAATAAACCCATACTTCTATGACCAGTTGATTTTTGGCAAAGGTGAAATAAGTGGGGACATAGTCTTTTCAACAATGGTATTGGAATAACAGAATTGTCAGATGAAAAAGAATGAACTTGTAATCCTACATCATACTATATACAAAAATTAGCTTAAATGAGCAAAATTCTAAATGTAAAAACTAAAACTACAAACTCTTAAGGGAACATAGTTGCAAATTGTTGTTACCTAGAACTAAGTAATATAGTTTCTTAGGTATGACCCCCAAACTAAAGAAAGACATTATATTCTATTGATTTCTTAAAAACCAAGCAAACTTTTGTATATTAAAGGACACTGGGCAAAAGGTGAAAAGACAACCTGGAAAACAGAAAATTAGTTTCTAAGTCATAGCTAACAAAAATCTGTTGGTTTTGGTGTCAGATGTCATTGACTTACCTCCAAGTTGTACTGATTCTATGTATAACAGAACAAAATCACAAAAACTCATTGTTGCAGTCACTACGTCAATTCATCTCATTGAGAGTCTTCCTCCTTCATATTGACTCTCAGCTTTACCAAACATATCCCTCTCAAGAGGCTAGCCTTGCCTCAAAACTTGCACAAGGTAGGTAAATAAAGTCTCACCATTTAGCATTCTGGCTGCATTTTCCAAGATAGATTTGGGTTTTCTTTTGGTTGTTATTGTATACCATTGAGTCTGAAGTGATCCATAGCTGACCCTCCAGTGAGTTTTCAAAAGCAGTTACTTGCTCAGGAAGAGATTGCCCATCCTTCTCCTGTGGAGCAGCTGGTAGATTCGTACCATGTTCCTTCAGGACTGCAGCACAGTTTCTTATCACTAAGCTACCAGAACTCTATAGTATATAGTACATGTTCTCCAATTGCACCACAATTCAAAGCATTACTTTTCCTTGGTCATTATTCATTATTCTATTTCCATACGCATATGAAGTAATTTAAAATACATAGCTGTGTCAGTTGGACCTTATTTTTAAAAGTGACTTCCTTGCTCTTTAAAAGAGGCTCCTTGGCTACACATTTGCCCAATTAGATATATCAATTGATTTTGCTTGATTTCTGTTACCACATGGGTTGAGTTTAAATTTTAAAAAAAAGTCCATGACAATTTCAATCTTTTACATTGATGAGGATGTTGCTGGATGATCCATTTGTGAGGAATTCTGTTTCCTGTATGTTGAACTGTAATCCATCTAATCCATCCTGAAGAATATAAACTCTGAGCTTAATTAGTAAGTCCTTCAAATATCTTAGCTTTCTGCAAGCAAAGTTGTCATCTGCATGTTACAAGTTGCTGATGAATTTGCCTTCAGTCTTGCTGCCACATTCTTCATATAGTCTTCGTGCAGTTCTCAAGCTTCTCATATTATTTGTCTAGCATACATATTGAATCACTGCATGGTTCGAAACTGGGAAGGTTGTACATCAGAGATGTGTCCTATCTCCAGACCTTTTCTGTCTATATGAAGAACAGATTATCTGCTAGGCTGAGCTCTGTGAAGAGGAATGTGGCAGCAGCATTGGAGGAAGACTCATCAACAATGTGCATTATGCAGATGACATAATCCTGCTTGCTGAACTGAGGAGGACATGAAGCACTTGCTGCAGAAGGTCAAGGACAGCAGCCGTTAATATGTATTGAAGCTCAACATCAAGAAAACAAGGATTCTCACCACTGGGCAGCACTTGCTGCAGAAGGTCAAGGACAGCAGCCGTTAATATGTATTGAAGCTCAACATCAAGAAAACAAGGATTCTCACCACTGGGCCAATTAATAATCTTACTATGGAAGATGGAAGATGCAATTGAACCTAATATCTGGTGAAGAGACTGAAATTGTTAACAGCTTTAGTTTGCTTGGTTCCACACTCAACACTCCTGGTACCAGCATCCAGGAAATTAAATGATTAATTGCATTGGGAAAGTCTGCTATCAATGACCTTTCCAAAGCATTGAAGAGCAATGATGTCAATCTGGAGACTAGGTGTGCCTGATCCAGGTCATAGTCTTTGCAATTACTTGCTGTGTCAGAAAGCTGGACAGTGACTAGTGATGACAGAAGAATTGATGCCTTTGAACTGTGGTGCTGGAGAAGAGAACAAACAAGTTCGTCCTGGAGAGGGTGAAGCCAGGCTGCTCCTGGGAGGCAAGGATTTTGAAGCTTCATCTGACATACTTTGGACAGGTGGGATCAGTCCTTGGGGAGGGATGTCATACTTGGGTGGGTGGAGGGACAGCACAAGAAAGGAAGACCCTCAATGAGATGGATTGACTCAGTGACTGGGATCATCGGGGTAGGTGTGTCAGAGACATTAAGATTGGCACAGGATAGAGCAGGATTTCGGATTGTTGTACAGAGAGTCGTTATGAGTCACAGGCAACTCAATGGCATATAACAGCAACAACACATATTGAACAAGTATGGTGAAAAGATACAACTATGATACATACATTTCCTAATTTTAAACCATACCATATGCATAATGCCAACATTTATTAAAGTAAGTACTATGGAAGATGCAATTGAGCCTAAATATCTGGTGGTTTCCCTGATTGACTCAGAACAGTTGGTAAAAGTCAAGAGAATTCTGCAAGGCAAGAAAGAACTGAAAATACATGATAGATTCATGGAGAGAGAAAATTATCTCCATGAGTAATCTGTAGTTCAAATTATCATTGTCCAACATGCAACAGTGTGTTCACTATTTTCCTAGTCACTGGTCAAAAGAAACTTGAAGAAATATAGGAGGAAGTACTAGTCTGTCACTTTCTTCATGGTTCAGGTTTCTCCCTGTTTGCCTTCACTAAATGTCCACAAAAAGTCTTTGCAAGAGGAACATTCTACAGTGACCAACCCAATATCTTCTTTCCAACATGAATTTCCTACATAAACCATTTTACTGTCATATCAATCATTCCAATTTAAAATACAAAAAAGCTGTTCTTTGAATTTTCACTCATTTTTTACAGTTATTGGAATTTTACCGGTACCAGTTAGGATTACTGCATTTTGAAATAATGGAAAACCCATGTATTAGGGCTTACGCAGCAAAGGTATTTATTAGCATTATATAACTAGAGGTCAACTGTCAAGGCATATAGAAAAATTTGGATTCTTCACAACCAATCATCTAGGGTCTTTGTGTTTCAGCATTCTATTAGTGTGTTCATTCGTTGTTTTATAGTGACAAAGTATTAGATGTAACTCCAGATACCAAAGCTGGATTCAAGGAAGAAATAAAAAGTTAAGTAAATATTGGTTCTGCTATTCTGTTTTTCCAGGAGAATAAAGCCATCCACCAAATCTCAGCATTGCTTTACATTTCATTGGCCAAATCTGTGATAAACGGCTATTCCTAATTATAAGAGAATCTGGAAAAGTAATGTTTCATTTTTCCAACCTTCACACAGAGATTAGTGAGTTCTGGTAGCTTAGCGGTAAGAAATTGTGCTGTTAATGCAAAAGTATACAGCTCGTATCCAGCAGCTGCTCTGTGAGAAAATGATGGGCATTCTCCTCCCATGTGATTTCCTGCCTTTGAAACCCAACTAGAGGGTCTGATATGGGTCAGTTCCAACTTGACAGTACATACCAGCAACAATAATATATGGAGATTACTTGGAAAATTATTTGGGGGGATGAAAAGCCACATAATCTCAGGTTTTCAGTCTTCAGAAGAGACTGTGGTGACACTTCCAGATAGTTTTATTACTGTTTTATGTTCTGTAAAGATAAAATCAAAGCATCCTATGACTTACTAACCTTAACAGCATGTGCTGAAGAAAGCTGGAGTCTGTACAGAGATATACAGCTCTGTCTCATATGCAGTAGGAATTTGCAATGAATAGGGCAAGATATTTTATTGTTTATGTGCCAAAAAATAAACTGTACACTTTCTCCTTTGCAGGTGTCCTAGGGGGTGAAATGAAATGAATTCATGATCTTTCAGGAGGAACAAGCTGATGTTTCTAAAGAGAGATTGGTTCACTGCTACTGGCAGTGTTATGGAACTTTTCCAGGCATTTCTTTAAAGCTAGTAGTATTAACATCTCACAGAACTCATCATGTTCTCAAAAGCCTGTGAGAAATTCACTTTCGTCTCCCTGAGAAGCAATCTCCTGCCGTGCTGAATCAATATGTGCCCAGATTCCACAAATGCATATAGCATTACCTTGAAAACTTTATAAATATTATAATTAATGCTTTCACATATTTTTGTAGAATGGTCATCATGATTCTGTCCCAACAACATAAGGCAATGGTGGTGGCTAACCATGGATAGTAATAGTGTCTTTTGTTTTTCCTTTTCTCATTCAGTTTTAAGTATATGTTTCCACCATCTATGACTGAAGTCATAGATTATCTCATGGTAAATGTTTTAGTATTTAGTGTTATCTAATTTTATACAGACATTGTTGTTGTTGTTGTTGTTGTTAAGTGCTGTCAAGTCGTAGACGACTCATGGTGACCCTATGAATGAAAGACCTGAACATTTGTACAACTTTCATTATTTATCCAAGTTCATAGGGTTTCTGGAGGCAAACTATTTCTGAAGTGGATTCTGCTCCTGCTTCCATACTTGTTTTAATCAGGGAGCTCCACCAAGCACTATCCACCATGGGTAACCTTTGTCACATTTGACACATCAGTGTCACAGGATTCAGTCAACA